CGCATGCTCTACCATCTAGTATTCCAGTGAGAGCCAAGTGGTTTTTCTGCACCTTTGTCAATGGACAAATAAATCAGTCATTCTGTTCAAATGCATTGAAAAATATGGTTGATTTCACCTTTCTGGGATTCTTTTCAATGTTCCCTTTGGGTGGGTTAGGTACTCAGTAAGTGTAGCTCTACTGGAGTGGGTACCCCAGAATGTTGGCCTGGGATGGAGGTCAGACAGTTGTGTCCACATCTCCCCTGGGGCTTCCCATCTCCTGCTTCTGCCCCCCTCCCTCCAACAAAAAAACAAACAGAATATAGTCTTCTCCCCACAGTAGCCAGGATTCCATATATGTATATATAATCTTTATTGTTGAGAGTATTACAGATTAAAGATGTCCCCCTTACCCCATTGCCCCCCCTCACCCAGTTCCCACCCCAACCCATACCTTCACCACCCTAATGTCTATTTCCATGCATTATGTATATATGCCTAGAAGTTCTTTGGTTAATCTCTTCCCACCCCTTCTCATACCTTCCCTCTGAGATTCGTCAGTCTGTCTCATATTTCCATGCCTCTGGTTCTATTCATCAGTTTATTTTGTTAGATTCCTTGTTCATTTATTTTGATTTTTAGATTCAACTGTTGATAGATTTGAATTTTTATTGCTATTTAGTTTATATTTTTCATTTTTTATTTCTTCTTCTTCTTCTTCTTCTTCTTCTTCTTCTTCTTCTTCTTCTTCTTCTTCTTCTTCTTGAAAACCCTTTAATATTCATGTAATACTGGTTTGGCGGTAATGAACTCCTTTAGCTTGTCCTTGTCCGGGAAGCTCTTTATCTGACTTTCCATTCTAAATTATAGCTTTGCTGGGTAGAGTAATCTTGGTTGTAGGTCCTTGCTTCTCATAACTTTGAATATTTCTTGCCATGCCCTTCTGGCCTGCAAAGTTTCTATTGAGCAATCAGCTGACAGTCATATGGGCACTCCCTTGTAGGTAACTAACTGCTTTTATCTTGCTGCTTTTAAGATTCTCTCTTTGTCTTTAACCTTTGGCATTTTAATTATGATGTGTCTTGGTGTGGGCATCTTTGGGTTCCTCTTGTTTGAGACTCTCTGTGCTACCTAGACTAGTAAGTCTATTTCTTTCACCAGGTAGGGGAAGTTTCCTGTCTTTATTTCTTCAAATAGGTTTTCAATATCTTGCTCTCTCTCTTCTCCTTCTGGCACACCGCCCCCCCCTCCAGCCCCCAACGTGAATGTTAGTATGCTTGAAGTTGTCCCAGAAGCTCCTTACACTATCTTCATATTTTTGGATT